CTGGTTTTAGAGAATTCATTTCGTGTCGTGGATACGATAACTTTTATGTGACCTACTGAAATGTCATTAGGACCATAGAATTCACTTGTCTGTAAATGCACAAGTCTCAGTCTCTTGGGGCACAGATTTCGGTTTACAAACTGCTGATGGAGGTATTTTTTCTAAGGGTGCTTAAACTTACAGCACTATCAGGACGAAATAATCCCCCTGTTGTTTTGCCAGCTTCGAAACAGCTTCATTAAGGGCCTTGTTGGCTTTGCGGCAAAATTGTTTCCAATATTTGGTTATACAACAGAGTATTTCTGTATGTGTCCGATGTGTTCGGATTCTAATGCTTAGGTGTTTATGGGATTAGAACCCCAGCTTCCATAATGGCAATTTTCGATGTCCTTTCTTAGCCGTTGGTTTGATATAAGAATGTCTCGTGACCATTAGTACTATAGAGTCACAAAGGCACATTAAAAGTCCCCTCGTCCTTGTTTGGCTGAAATCCCATGGGAAGTATCAGTTTCTGCAAAACTTCCAGTTTGGTAATGAGCACAAGAGGTAAATTGTCATAAGCATACTCCGACTTACTTAGGTAAAAGTACCGGCATGATTTTCCCTCAGTTGGATGTTAATTTCGCACGACTGGGATGGCAACATTTTGTGGGAAGCTAAGTACGAAATAGCTGTATCATTGGTCAAACGAACACAGTTACTACTGGGTAACAAGAAACGCTTTTTAGAGTCTTACGTAACGTACTCGACGATTCCAGATGTCGTGCTCGTTCAGACAGTTCAAGAAAATTAAGCTCGTGAGTGGCTGTCGGTGTTAGTTAAACACATATGCCGTGTTCCTTGGAAAGACGAACTGAATAGAACACCCATGAAACGGAGATATTCACGGCGAACTTCAGCTAAATACATCTGGTGTTTACGGTGCATCGAATAGTCAGGTGGACTAGGTTTGGTCGATCAGTTTACCGGCAATTGGTTGGCTTCAGATTGCTCTGTTACTAGAACACACTAAATGGAACTGGAATCTCCCACTTTGGCTGTGTAATCAGCTGAGGTTTTGACCACGTCGGCTTTGTCTGCTTATGCAAAACTCAGACGAACACGACACTTCAGTGAGATACATATCATGATATATCTCCCCATGAAACCTTGTACTGAGGAGGAAAACCTTATTCCTCTCACGACCAGCAGAGATACAGATTTCAGAGCTCTGGGTCTGCATTCACACTCGGTCGAAAAGTATGTGTGAACAAATGTAGTATCACGGGTCCGTTGGAGCATATAATTAGCCAGATCATTTCGGCTCATCTTAAATGTATTCCAGGAGATCTATGACCTACTTTTCAGTAGGATGATTTCAAAAATTTGTACATCGTCCTGTCTGCAGTCATTGTAGATACGAGCTATCCCATCATTTGCGATTTCATGCGTTTGATATACGTTTGATAACTATATAATAGGAGTAGAGTGTATGTGGGTTATCAAACAAGGAATAAACTACCATGAGTTGCGAATATCAGGGTCATTTATTCATCACTGTCGGCTAGACTGTTGCGCTGAGCGATTACCTTATTTGAGTGTCCTTAAAGAATGGCATGTACTTCTTCATTCGACTAAATACACTATTCGTAGTCTGGAAACTTCTGCTCAGCCAACCACCAGTTTTGTCTTTCTTGGGGCTCCTTATATAGGCGCAGTTCTCTATACTTTATCCGGATTGTATGCAATTCGGAAGGTGAATTTACTTGCAAACTGATATGGTTTTAACGAGACTCATGGGAATCCCAGGTGGACCGGGCGTTTTGGGATACCCTTTAGCTGAAAGCACGATAATTGGGATATCGCAACACCTCGACAAGGCAAGTTATTAGCTGCTGAATGGTTTTCATAAACCTTGAATAACCTATTTCATTGAGGCAATGTGCTGTGACATCATGAATACCACACCGACATTAGAAAGAATACCAATCTACGACTATTTCAACAAAATTATGGTTGGACAGAATTCAGCTTATGGCCATGTAAACACCACGTCAACACCATTGTACACTTGAGAGCGGTCAGCTGTAACTGTGAGTGTAGATATTCACTCACAGTTAGTGAGAATATGAACATTCCGTAGGTTCGCATCCAAAGTCGCTGAGATCTATGTTGCAGAAGGGTAGGCTGCTCTGTATAACGTGAGGAAAAATAACATTTGAAAAGCTTTGAAGGAGTCTTTGATATGCTAGCTAGTTGATAAACTAGCTATGTGTGTTTTCCATAAGCATAGCAGTTCATGCTTGACCGCCCGAACATTTTAGATGAACATTCTCTGATTCTGGAATCCTAAATTCGGTCCTAAGTAACTCATACAGCTCGTGTTCAGTGAGCGAAACGTGAATAAATCGTGCGAGTTGGCCCACGGAACCCACCAAAATCATGCATTTATGGAGGCAGTTCTAGTAAGAAGAAACTTGATCTCACCAAATGCAAGTTGCCGAGTGATAGCTCCATTCTTTAGTCATTTATTGACGTCATCCGTCAACATCAATTCAACTGTATTTCGTAGACTTGCCTCACGAAATCAAAGTAGGTCCAGGATTTAACCCGGACTGAACCGACTGTGATCAGACTACACTGGCTAAGTTCCGGTAGGGTCCGGTCAGTTGGTTTTCGGTCCAATCCTCATCATATTTAAGTTTATTCAGGAAACCGTACAAGTATACGAACTATGACACACGAGCCATTCTTTCACACATATTGAAGCGACTGTGCTCACAGCACTAAAATGATGCTATTTCTTGATATTCGATCTTTCGATTTTGTGAGAGATCTGAGCTACTTATTCGTCTAACATGGCATATGTTGCTAGATGAATTGAGTTCAATAAAGCGTCACAGTTTTTTTCATTACACTGACATTCGAATCACAGTCATTTAAACTTTGTCATGATTCTGATAGTCCTGGGTGAAACTTTGGTTTTTTGCCCTTTATGGATTAATTCTCATGTTCCAATGAAGTTTCTGTGCCTATCGTTGATACCCTATAGGTTTTGCGTCTTTCTTTAGGCTGAAATGTTAGAAAACGGTAGTCCATTTGGGACAATTCTCGCTCAGTTTTACGGTTTCAGATAGAGCAAAGCAAACGTGGTGCATCATACATGTGTTAGTAACCCATGGAAATTGCAGTCTGCATCTGACATCAACTTGTGTCAGCAAAGAATCGTACAGAATAAGGTTCATTAGCGAGAAAGCAGATAAATAAAAAGTGTTTTACATTCCAAGTGTTTCTTGGTCACCTTAGCAAAAAATAAGCTGACTGAGTGGGCAGTACGTCCAGTACGGTGATTCATCTTTAACCAAACCCTTTGCAGTTTGCAAACTTTCAGGACATGAATAGGTCTGAAATGCTTTTTCGATAATGCATGCCAGAATTGTAGCTACAATCAACTGATTCATTTCGTGACCATCACATGACTACGTTATACTTGCCCGGCTTTTTGAACTTCTGTGATTTGCCAGAACATCCTGGGATTAAATATCTGACCTAATGAAATGATAATGAATGTCGCTGCATTTACCACAACTCCGTATTTTTACATATTTATGTTGTCGTCGGTTGAAACGCTGCTTCACTTTTGCAAACAGTGCACGCTTGAGGACATTTAGCTTTGAAATTTTCTGAAACTCTTCGTTTGTCCTCCTCAGCAATCGCTTTTAAACATTCCTCTAGCTTGTTTCATTTGCTTTCGATGGACAGCCGTCAACTAAGGAGAAAGCTATCTTGAAAGCTATCTTATCTAGTGACTATCCATCAATCATACCTGTGTTGACGCTTCGGGCTCATACAGCTTATTCATAATATACAAGGTCGTCCTGGACTGAGTTGCATCGGACAGCTCATCTCTGACTACAGTGCACCTGCACAACATGACAATAGGCGACCGTTGTCATGGAAGCTTGGCGTCAATATCTGGGCTCTTTTACGATGCTTTCCCTTCATTGAAACCAAATGGTTTTTCTGATGTGCCTTGGTCGTCTACACTGATGGTGATGACGATGATAATGATAATGGTGGGACGATGTCCACGGCTGCAACAAGCATTCTTGAGCGTTTTTTCTCATGTGTGGGTTTTCCCTCAGTAGAATAATCACTGCGTCTGTTCAGCATTCCTCATATCCATGAGATATGAATGTCGGCATGTCCCACCAATTATCGTTAATTTTTCACTCCTGATAAAAAAATTATGAATTATATAGGGAGAATGAGGACGGGTTTCTTTTGGCGTATCACGCGATATGATGGCCATGGAATGTTGAATAGGATCATTGGTAAGATTATCACGATATATTAGGACGCAAGCTGCTTACTTATTTATAGACTGGGCCAGATACCTTAACCATCAACTATAGAGGTGGATGTGAATAGCGCAGCTAATTGGGCAGGAGGCTGCATAAATGGGCTGGCAACTGCACAATCACGATAGAATTAATGGTGAGCAATATGAAGGAATTTCACTGGTTCACTCTCATGTTGGACAATGTCTTCCGAATGCATACAGCAAAGTTAAGGTAGCTAAATTAGCTTTACCTCATTTGATACATTTTTTTTCTCTAAAATGCTAAGCAATCTGTGTTGTCATCCACAAAGTTGCTTTTAAACATTTTCTTCCTTACAAATACTGTTCCATGTTTCATTTTATGCGATATTCTATGTTGAGATGGATATTCTTTTCATTTAACACTGTTTATATACTTGCTAAACCTTTTCGTCACCAAGTTGTTGGTTTCCCTATTCTTGGGGCCTGTTTATTAGGCGCCGTTATCAGGCTTTCGTCAGCCATGTGTTCTATTTCGGTATCTACTTGTGCGCATTCCGCGAGTTGCATTCATTTACCACTTACAGCATTGTTAACCGGACACCAAACTGAATATCCGGAGCTGGTTTCTGATGCATTACAAAAACATTTTTAAACAGGACTACGCAAACTTGCTTGAAAGATACTGTGCACGACTTGCCTTTTCAAAAGTTTGAAACATACACGGATTCCCTCTCCATTCGACACATCATCCGCGTAGAAGATGGTCATCCGCACAAATCAGCTGCTATATTCCGTACCAGCTGGTCTAAAGCACAGGTCACGCGAGTAGACGAATGAATCAGATTGCCAATGCTGTGCTATGTCATCTGAGCTCTTTTTCACTACGGTGTCTTCAAGTATCATGTGTCTTCATATGTGTACTAAGGTGCAGGCTGGCGCATGTGCGTTTGCTCACATATTCACATGGCGTCAGCACTGTCTTTAGAGGCACACATTCAATACTTGCTCAATGGAATTTTCAGTTTCGTTCATAGATGCAGATTAAACAGGCTAGTGAAAATTCTAGACCATCACCCAGTCCTGACGACGGTTTAAACGCTAAAGAAATCCTGTGATTCTTGTAACTTTCGGTGGTTGAACTGGTCAACTCGAAATAAAATCCCAGTTAAATCTTAATACTAGTAGTATTGGGAGTAAATTTCAACACAAATTTGTGAAATACACAGCTTCAGCTGTTGATATTTTCTGAATTGACACAAAATGCAAATAGTCATAGAATACTGACACACCTGATTTTATCAAACCTGATGCACTGAATCAAAAAATCAATCATTTGTAATGGTTTCATTTTCACAAGTAAATTTCCTCAAGCCCTCTAATCCCATTCATCACCCAATGACCGTTGTCACAAAAAACATCGCAAGCTTTCTATGCTACATCATAAATTTCTGTGTGAACGCCTCGCCAATGACAAAAAGGTAAGTTATTTGGATGCAAAGGTCCCCCAAACACTGCCCAACATCTAGTATCACACAAAGCCCTTCCGAGATTCTAAAAACCAGAATACAAATTTTGGCGAGAGGAACATTAAGGATTTTTCCAAAACTCTGCAGAAAAATGCATATTTTGTCTTAATGTAGCACAACTCTATTTTTGTAGGATATTTGTTGATGACACATTTCTACAGTACGCAGATACACTCAAATTTCGCCAGACCCTCTGGATAACAATGAAACTGCCGCTTTACCAAAACAGCCCTGGTAAGTTTTTTTGAGTCTTTGGCATGTTGCAAAGCCATCCGCTATGAAGTCGCTTAAAATAACAAAACGGTGCTTGCCGAGGAAAAATTATTACACGAAGGCTTTTAGAATAATTCTGCGTTGGGAACAGTTTTGATAAGCGACGGGTATTACGAAGAGCATTTCGCAAGAAAGGACCTTGCAAATCTTTCTCACATCAGCCTTTGATTGCACTTGCCTTGGTACCACAACTGAAAACTATACACATACGTGAGCTTATGCCGAAACTGATTGAAAAATGTCCAGATTCGATGTTTTGCTGCTGTATGGCTGTGCAGTTAGCTTTATCATCCACTAACCAGATATTTTTGAACTGCCCTAAGATGTGTTCGTTCCAGTCGATTCCCAGTGCAGTTTCACAAGCTCCTCAGGAAGCAAAAACTACCAGTAACCAGTATCAGCCTTCCACGGGCCACATTCTTGCGCATTTTGGCCACTGGTAAAAAACTGACAAAGTTTTTCAACGCTCCTTATCTTTTTGACGACACGTTTGATGGCCTTTCCTATATTATGCTTTATGCTTGAAAAGTATTGTAGGGTATCTACGCAGAGGATATGTAATTAATGGAATGAAACATCCAGCAGAACTCTCCTGGTTAAATCTCAGAGACACTATGGATTCATGAAGGCAATTTGTACAGCGGCGCAACGTATGATAAGCAGAGTATCCCAGACGAAATGCACTATTCATAAGATTACTGATAACTCCTCAATCAAATCACAAACAAGAGATTTTGGGAGATTTATTTCATTCTATTGTTACAACCAGACTGGTTTGCAACTGGGTGTATTCCACGACGCAATTTATTCCCCTACAACCCATTATGTGTAAGAACAGTGCTACCGACCGACATTTTGCTGGCTGGCTTGTGAAAATTTCCGATCTCGTCCGGGAGCGTTTATCCCTACGCCGTTTGATTGGATCTCCCGGTCTAGCTGATATTCTGGAACATATTTTGCTGAGTTTCCAAAACACTCTCACGTGATGTTGGCTGGTATCTTGCTTTTTACTTACGTACCTCTTGACGAGACAGTTCGATTCTTAGAGGACTATATTTCATCTGAAAAGCCTATCGAGTACCTTTAAGATAGTTTTTTGCTGTGAATAGAAAATCTTCGACTTGGTTCAGTTCACTTCCGTAGGCATATAGACGACATTGCAGCGAGCCGTATATTAGTTTAACTCTCTTGAACATTTTCTGAGGTTACTTCAGAAACAGGTTTCAATCGAAGAACTCAATTTCCCTCATACTAACACCACTTAGGCAAAAAGTTTGCTACCACTTATGTTGAAAGGCTTGATTATTTTGTGACTTAATCACAGTTACCCAGACTCACATGAATCAGAAAACAGCCTCCGTTTTTGAGGCACAGTCGAGAATGGGTGAATAGATTGGTCGTAAAGAGGTCGATCTTTCAACGCTTCACATGAAGCAATAAGCATCCGAATCTTCGTAGCCCAGCATTGGTCACGACCGTGCTCGGATTAGCTGAATCACTGCTTTACAGTGCAAGGCGCGTTTGCTGCCCTTACAAACTAAAAGAGAAAGAACCATTCTTGAACAGGAACCTAACCTCCAAAACCTGCCCAAAAATGCTTCGCTGAAATTCATGGCGTTGCAATGCAAAAATTGGTTTGTCGCTGTCTGCTATATTTTAATGGTATCTTGGTGGCGAAGGAAATCAAAAGTTATTTGAAGTCTGCCATGGGACGAAACCACGGTTCATTCAGGCTATCAAAGGAATCCTTCTTCTACGGCGTTGAAACATCTTGTCACGTTCAGCTGTAGTGCGAGATATCTCTCGGTTTGCCACCAGTTATGAGCATACACAAAAGATGAACTTTTTTTACGAACCCTTGCCGAAACATATATATTAAGTATGTCCTTCTAAAACTCTTGTGAATACCTATAAAAGATTGGACGTTCAGTCACAAACGCGGGCTACCTGTTGCAAAGTGCCTGGTGCAAACTGGTCACCAGCTCAATTTTTAGCCCTCCTTCCGAGCGCTGCTGCGCGTCTAGAACCCAAGCAGTTTGGCTATCAGGAAAGCCACGTTTATCAAACTACTTTAGCCAAATCTGTTTGTAAATAAGGTTCTTAATGAATGTAGCTTTTTAACGTGGTCTGAATCATTTGACATTGCTATGTTTCAAATCGTTCAACATTGATACTGATTTCTTTTTATGCGAAATTTCCATATTTCACGGCTCACTGCTGAGGAAAGTACAAGAAGTCCTAACGTCACATGACATAACTTATATCCACTTTGATGCGACGGATTAATGAAACCACTTGAACCTAACCAAGACATCCACTCAAATAGTTGACAGGTAAACTGTACATCTTGGAAGTGCCCCCAGCTGTTTTAGAACTATTTCGTTTTATCATGGTGTCCACTGGCTCACCTTCATTCATCGTCATATGAATGCATAGCCATCACTTCACCCACATACATGGCTGTACATCTCACCACCACTCACTAGATTACGAGATCTGCAAAGTGCAAAACTGTGTATTTGCT